GCCTGGTAGCTGCCGAGGGAGTAGCTGCGCAGCCAGGTTGGTTGCGTTTGGTGCCGATGTTAGGTAGATTCGTTGTAAGGCTTATGAAGCGTACAGGTGTCCCGCAGTGCTTCGCAGGTCAGGGCGGAGGTGGGTACGAAGCTTGATGGCGGCAGGGAGAGGCCAGGTGCGCTGGTGGAGGAAGGCGCCTTGCCAGCGGGCGGCTGCCCGGGTTAACGTGTGCTCGCCTCCCGTGACAGGTTAAACGAAGGGACGTGAGGTAAAAGTTGGAGGTGGGCAGAAATAGAGGAGAAGGTCCTGGAATTTTCCTTTTATCCAAATGAGTAGACCTAGTGGAGCTGGCATGTTTGATAAATCCAAGTGTGTGTGTGTGTGTGTGTGTGTGTTTTTTTTTTTTTTAATTGGTAGTTTTAAGGCAGCACTGTGAAGTGAGAACTAAACCCAGGTTTGTGCTACCGCCCTCACTGGGGTCAGGGAAGCAGCGATGAATACCTTTATGAAGCTGCCCAGAGCTTCATAGAGCCGCAGGGCAGGGGTCCTGCCCTCCCTCCGGCTCCTGAGGCTTGTTGTTTCAGAGCTGCAGGAGATGAAGGAGCTCATCTGGGTTAAAATGCAGCAAAAAGGAGTCATTTTTTCCAACCGGGTTATGGTCTGAGCCGGCTGACTGTGGTTTCCCTAAGGCTTTTGCTGATGCGAGGGAAGGGGATTTAGATCAAATCTGAACTGGGACATCCAAAAGTAAAATTCTTTCACGGTTGAGCAGGATGGGTGCGAGAAGAAGCTGAGTCGGCTGTGCTGCAGCATGTCCCCTCCTCCATGGGTGTTGCATGCTGATGTTTGTGCAACGCATGACACCACCACCTGCTACTCAGAATAAAAGTCTGGCAGCTCACCACCGTTTTCTAGTCACAGCTTTGGACTTTGGCACTTCAGTGCCAATCCTTGCTCCTTAGTGCAAGATGGAACAGAAAGGTCCAGGTATAGAGTGGCCTGAAAAACAAATGCAAAGACATGTGGAATTGGGCATGCTTTGCAACATGTAGATATTTCTGGGTAACTTGGAGACAGGAGAGTAAAAATGATGGAAGCAGGTGAGTAGAGAACACCCTGCTTTAAATCAACAAATTTAACATGGCTATAAGGTGCCCAGCATTTTAAGTACGTTTTCCAAGACCTGCTGTAGACAAGATTGTAGTTTGAGCAAAATGACTCTTGGAAAAAGAGGAGGCACCATGACAAGTTATCTTTTATTTGGGTGACTTTGTGCAGTACTAGGATCTGCTGATAATCTCCATTTTTAGATGGAGTGATGGGAAAAAGAGAAAGTATTCCTTCCTAGTTTTTGCAATATAGGTAAAGATGTATTGTTTGCTTAATTGATGTGTGAGTAATGTTACAGTGAATCATATTTCACCGCTGACTTTTGTGGGCTGTTCCAATTTAGGTAATCGCCTTTCTAATAATATGATAAAGACAAAAATAAAGGATAGGTATATAAATAAAAATTAATCCAGAGGTTAGCCTATGAAGAGAACCATTCAGTATATGAATGCCTCCCTACACAAATGCAAATGAAGAGCTATCAAACTTCTATCCACAGCTGGCTGTGAAGACATTGATTGCATGTGAGCTATTTCGTATGCAGCTTTCAATTTCCAGGTTATCTGTGTTGCAGCTCACAGCAGAGACCAAAGCCCAGTGAAGTCAAAGTTTTCCATTGATTTCAGTGGGCTTTATTTGATCTTTTAGCCAATTATAGTGTCATCCTATTGAAACAAATTTAAAAAGAAATGAAAAAGTGTGCAAATGTTTGGATGCTTATCCTCACTGAATTCATATGGCAGATCTCTGTAGTTTACTGGTGACTGTTTATATTCCTTAGCAACCACAAATCAGAATGAGTGCTCTGTTTTCCTGCTGTGATAAGAATAGTTCTTTCCTTGCTGTCTTGGTGTATTACAAAGACAGCTAGAACAAAGGCTGTTTGTCGTGAGTCTTATATAATTCATGAAGTAATTGGCTGTGCGCTGCTAAGACCCACATATAGTTGTTTTTAATGAGCGATATTTCTTGTCTTCATAATAGGTACTCTACATCTCTCCAAAATAGCTACCTGGTTAGGCTAAGCTAGGTAGTCACACACACGCCCACGCCCACCCCACAACAAAAAACCCACAGAGCATTTTGACTTAGAACAAGGAGAGTGGGTAAATAATGTCCTTGCCCTATTTCCTTTGCTCCTTGTGACTTCAGAAATACCAAAGCAGCATTCCTTTTAAAGGGGCCAAGAGGAAGCTGCCTTTACTCTGAGATGTGTAAACACCAAAATTCAACCGAGATGCTGTTTTTGCGAGCGTACCAGTTTAGTGCAAAGTATAAGTAACCTTAAGAAGCCACAGTGTAACCTGAGGTTCTATTTTTTTGTAGTTTTAAAGCATGTTTGTTTTGACAAAGATTTGAGTTGCCTGTTTGAAATGATTGAATGACCTGTCTATTCTGATTCTGTGAAAAGTATGATACTGCCTACAAAGGGGCCTGGTCGGTACTGAAACTCTAGGAAGGGTTAACTTCGGTATTGGTGGTCCAAGCAATATGAACATTGCCTTTGAAAAGCCTCAAGGTGTGTGGCCTTGCACTGACGCTCATTGACCGTAAGATGGCGCACTCGCACTTCATTTCGAGATGGCATAATTGAACTAAATGCAACTTCCTGATAAAATCATATTGGCGCGTTTTATTTGATTATAATTGCTTTATTGCAGGCAGTTTCTGAAACCTGAAATTGAGTCCCACCTAAACTGCTTTGCTATTTGCATTTCAATTAATGGGTTAAATTTCAGCCAATAATGCCTTTTAGTGGATGGAGATGCAGAATTTAAAAAGTGGTGCTGTCAGCGTAATATTACAATATCAAGGTGGAAATGATAACGTGACAAACAGGAATGGCTGCCAGTGAGAAAATCGCATAAGGCCAGAAAATGGATAGATGTGAGAGCAACCATTTAAAATATCAGACACAAATTGTTTCTATCCAGGATACTTCTGTGGGATAAAATGCTGACTCTGGCAGTACTTCTGTGTTCACAGAAAGCCCTGTATGCAGCAAACCATCACAGATAGGCAGCAGAAGAATAGTTTCACACGGACAGTGAAGGTCAGGAAGATCTCCTCAACAGTGCAGAACAGAGTTTGCATCTAGGATGCAGGCATCTACTGACACAGTTACTACAAGTTCAGAGGTACCTTTTTCTCCTGTGGGAAGCTAGAACTACTAAGAGAGTTCTGGCTCTATTTGGAGTGAGCTCATGGAAGAGTTGTGACATTTACTGTCGTTTGGCTTGCAAATTACATGGGTAATTTCCTCACCCTTTGTCTATCTTCAATATAAGCTCTTGAGGAAGCTCCTGCAGTGTAATGTCTATACATTGAGGTGTTTTGTTGGCAACTAATCAAAGCTACTGTAAAACAAGTAGACTGCTATGACTTGCTCCTTTCTCTGGCGAGGCAGCTCCACCATAAAACTTATTTGTAGTGTCTTATCCAGGTTTTGAGAATTTGGTGTACTCTGAAAACGGAAGGAGATTTAGGGAACATTGGAGGAAGATTCTCAAACAGTTACAAGTACTACTGCCTATTCAAAGAAACGTAAAGTAATCTATAGGCTAGGATTACCTATCTGCTATTTCTGCTTGTTGATCACTTCAGGGTTAGGAGGGCATTCGTATTGTATCAGTCTATTTTCTGTTTGTGCTCATTCTTTTATAATTTTTTTCCTTTTTACTGCTTGTCCTTGTTTACGCTTCAGAGACTGTCAGCTGGATGAAAGTGACAGGACACCCGTGGTCCTCATCGTGCTGATAGCAGATATCAAATCATGCTGTCTTAGAGTGAAATACTGTGGTTCTGCAGAGTGGCACCTTTGGCTTGTATATATTTGAGGCAGCCCTCTGCTTAAAAGGTTGCTGCCCCAAGAAATGTAGCAGTCTTTCTCTTGGGTTGTACCAGGAGCTGTTGTTGTCATTGCTTCTATTTTTGCCCTTATCCAATCACGCAGAGAAGAGCACTACATCTGGACATAGTTTTCTAGATATTCCGGTACAGATTCTAGAAAAGCTGACTTTCATAGTGAAGTATTCCTCAAAAGCAGTTGCTTGTTCCAGAATGTGTGTGCTTGATGGGATGTCTAATACAATGACGTGCAACAGACGTGTGATAAAAAATAAGCCAGAACTGATACTTTCCAAATCACTTTGTCCTCCATGATGTTGAAGCTGAAATTGGATGGAGCAAAGATCAATAATGTATCCAGTTAATACACTAACATATAAATGAAATGAATCATAAGAAATGAAATGACTTCCCCTGACAGTCTTGAGACAAATACTGTTCCATAAAACCTCAGCCTTGTCAATTTGGATTTATATTATAGGGAAACAGTTGCTGACAGGTGAACTCTATTGTGTAAATCTTCCAGGAAGTGGTTACTTGGTATTACTTGCAACATATGTTATTCCCTGGCCTCAGCCTTTATTGCCCATTTTCATTTAGTAGGTGAAAGTTTTTCTCCCCTGGCTCTATTACATTCTTCTGTTTCTAGTAAGGTCGTATTTTTTGGTTGGAACG